TGTTCCAGGAGGATCAGCTGTTCCTCATCTACGGCAATCAATTGTCAGTATTCCTTTGGATAGAATTGGGGTGTGCTGTTCATTTTTCCTGTAGTATGTTGGGTTACTGTCTGGAAGAGCCTTTATCTATCCTGGCCAACAACTCGACTGAAGCATAAGAGCATACATATATACAACTAAAAGTTATTCGACAAACAGCAAAGCCAGACAGGCGATACCTTCAGTCGAGTTATTTCTGATGTTTTAATAAGTCATAGTGGTTGAAGTATAAAGGTCACAACGGTACATGGAAAAGTAGAAGCAGATGCTTCTACTTTATGTGTGAGAAATAATAAATCGAATTAGGTTAGTGGATATAGGTGGGATATTAGGGTAGGGGAAGGATAAATAAGAAGGAACTCTAGATGACTGATATACAGTCAGCCACCTAAAAGGAATACTTCCTTATGGTGTGAATCCTAAGTCCTGTTTTAGAAATATTTAATTTGAAATATGAAGCATGCAGATAAGCCACACAAATCTGAAGTTCTAAGGAAGGAAAATAACTTTGGAAATCATTAACACTTAAATATATACACAAACACACACAAATACAAATATATGTACATATATGTGTATAATTTTAAAAACTACTGAGTTCATTAGTGTAGACCACTGGTAGTCCAATAGGGATGATTTTGTAAAGCTCCAGGGAACCTCTGCCAATGCATTCAGACAGTTTTAATTATAATGCTCTGGAATTTATTGATTAGAGGACAGAGATGGTACTAAATATCATAAATGAACAGGACAGCACGTAACAATAAGTATTCTGCTCAAAATATTAATAATACTGAGGCTGGGAAATGGTGGTATAGATAGAAAAGTTACCTCGTTTTGGAGGGAGTGGAAGAGCTGTCTCGGACAAACAATTGTATAAAACATACATTATCTAATTTTAAAACTGCTTAATTATTTGAACAGTCTAGAAACTATCTAAAATATCCTAAGAGTTACTTACAACTTAGATTAAAAGTAGCTGCTCTGAAATACTAAAAAATGGCTACAGTAAAGAGATAAGGCTAAATTTATATAACAGTTTAAGTCTGATTCATAAGTCCATGGGGATCAGACACGCTCTCTGAGGATCTTCCGAGAGATTATTCTATAGGCATGTTTACTGAATGAATAGATATATAAACATATGATCACATGAATGAATCAACAATGCAGCTTTATTGTCTAACACATGTGCCACAGTAAAAGAAGAAGAAGTCTGGAACATTAGTGCACATTTACAGAATCTATAGAAATACAAAGCTTCCAATAGTGTGAGAGAAGTAGAAAAGGAACAAAACAAATCCAAGTGCTGACTCAGAGAAATCCTCCAGTATATAGAATACTGCTAGTATTCTTCCATATCTACAGTTTCAAAAGCTATCCATACTTACCAAAAAATTACTAGTAAAAGTTCTAAAGGTTTGTTCTCTGAAAGATCCACTCAAGTCACAGAAGATAGTTTCACACATTCCTTAGAACACATCTACATCCTAAGTAAGACAGCAAATTGATTACCTTTCACACTGAGGTGTGTAGATCACTAGTTTATTTCAACTTTACTGCTATGTAGGAATACAGAGGAGTCATATATATTTTAGGTATAAGGAAGTGACTGTATGATACATAACGATGCAGTATTAAAAAACTAAATTAGGAAGATCATTTCATGGGGGAATATAGAAGCACTAAGAGAGAAAAATATCCTTTAGAGGTACTCTAATTTGGCTAACAAAAACAGGCATAAAGAGCAGGTGGCCTTGTGTATTGAAGATGGCCCTTCTAACTCTTAAGCAGAAACATATTAAGAGAAATGGCCTTTTACCAGAATGGACAAGGTGACCTATGCCAGAGAAGCACAGAAGTGAGAATTATGGATATGGTGAATCTGAGATCATGTACACCGTCTCTGTGTCTAAACCCTATCACAATAGTTTCTAATGTATGCAGTTATGCTTACTAATTAATAGCTATAAAATGGGCTTATGGTAAATTACAAGTAAGAAATAAGTGATTTTTCTATTTATTTATTTATTTTTATTTATTTACAATGAGTGTTTTGCCTGCATGTATGCAGGTGTATCACGTGTACAATAGAGAGAGAGAGAGAGAGAGAGAGAGAGAGAGCGAGAGCGAGAGAGAGAGCAATGGCATGCCTGTGGAGGTGAGAGGACTGGCTGTGCAACATGTAGAGGTCTACCATATGGATTTTAGGGAAGAACTCAGGTCATTAGCTTTACCCACAGAGCCATCTCATTTGTCTAATTTTATATACATTATGAACACAGATTTCCCAAGATATCAATATGGGTCCACCACTCTCTGACTCACACTAATGTGGTGATATCCTGGACACTCAGGGCTGACCACAACTTACCCTGCCAAGTTCTTTGTCTTCCAGAGCCAGGACCCCTGTGCTTTCTGTGAAGAGTTTTACTTTGACGACAGGTCGAGGGTGGGTAGTGCTGAAATCTCCTTGGGTTCCCCATCTGCAATAAAGTAATAAAGACTTTTTTAAAAAACTGGCATCATTAATTTTTCCCTTAGATGGACTTATTTCCGTAAAAGGCACATTGAGCAATGGAGAATCTTGTGACTCAGTGAGATTTTCATCTTTGCTTTTGTTTCTGACAGATGGCACCATCAAGAAGGAAAAGTACAGTAAGCTTTATAGCTTCTAATAGTTATTCAGCTGCTCAGAAAATTAGCACGCTGGTCTATAAAACATAGTATGCTTCAGGAGTTTAGGTTAAGTTAAAGCTTTCTAGAAATAGATAGTGAAATCTATTATTTTAGTGATTAAAATAAAATAGTAACAATACTTTTATGAATAGAAAAATTGCTAAGGGTGTGTTTATGTAAGAGATGGCTTTTCAAAAATCTATTCTTACATGCAATGGAAATTTACTCCCCCTCCCTTTGGAAGGTCTACACTAAACACTGTTTATCTTCATATTTTGAAAAGTAAGGACAATTATCTTAGGCCTCTCACTTTACATGACTTTTTATAGCTCCTGTCAGAAAGAATGAAATATGCATCATAAAATTTTGAATGATTTGCAGTTAATTTCTCAATGCATTCTCTCAGGAATGGAGTAGTCTGTAGACATCTGGCTTTTCAAAATCATAACAAAATAACATGTTTCTTGGCTTATCTTTTAATTAATAGCATCTTGTCTTTACCACACACCAATTCACTCTAGCTTACTGACAAACTCAACTGGCACACATCTCCTATTAAAAAATCTTATCACTATTTCTTGAAACTCAAGAGATCACAGGCACAGAGACCCGGAACAGCATGAAGAAAATATCATTGAACAAAATGAGACAAAAGAGAGAAGAAAAAGGAAGTTGAACAAAATTTAGGTTGAAACTAAAACATGAAATTTCAGTTTTTTATATTATTTAAAAATTTTATCACTTTCATGGAGCTGAAAATATTTTGTAAACTTTATTCAGAAAGTTTGTGAAATCTAGAAAACAAAGTATGTTAAAACTGAATAAATAATTGTTTTCTGTCTGTCTTCTATCCTAGCATTCAGAATATTACAACATGCCTGAAGAAATAAGCATCTATATGAAGGCTGTTCTTTTGAGACTAAAGGCATAGGCCAGAGGGAAGAGACTTGATTGGGATGGTAAAGCAGCTCAATTCTATTTTAGAATTCTAAAAAGGGGGCAGCAAGCTTTTGTTTGTCATTTCCCTGAACTTGGTCTGTGGTAGATTGAGGAGAGAA